GAGCGGCAGAAAACATCTACTCTACTGAGGACAATATAAAAAAAAACTAATGTAATGAAAAAAAAAAAAAAAAAGGAGTGGTGTTGCACTAATTGCCAAAATCCCTTAAATGACTAACAACAAACCCAAATATTCCCCATGGGACTTTGCAGGCAATATACACACCACATAAGTAAAGGGCAATGTATGCCAATCTTTGTTACAAAGTTTGGCATGCTGTATGGCTTGATCAGATGATTCGTCGTCAGCGGAAAGAAGGGTATACCGAGTCTACAATATAGTCACATTATTAAGTATAGATACATATGTAGGACTAAACCAACAAATCTTTACATATTCCATATCATACTCACATCATGTGTTGTATCAAACAAACCAAAATGTGTCAGGCTCTATCCAGGTATTTCATCCAGCTGATCAAGCCATACAACAGGGTGGATTTTATTGGTTTACCACGAACAATGGGGTATCTCAAATAACATACTGTATGTACACATTTAGACCAGCTATACTGTATTTTATTGTTTTATTCATTCTTTGTAATAAAGAGTGGCATACATGGCCCTTTACTCATATGCTGTGTATACTGCCTGGAAATTCCCATGGGGGAAATTCTTAGTTTGTTGAGTATTATTATTATACAGTATTTATATAGCGCCAAAGGGTTTGCTCAGCGCTCTACATTAGCGAGGGGAGCAGAACATGAGACAATACAGTACAATACAATACATGAGGGGTTTGAGGGCCCTGCTCTTTCGCGCTTACAATCTAGGAGGGAAGGGATAGTGGTACAGGAGGAAGTGGCTGTGGGGGATGGAGTGGTAGGAGGAGTGGAGATCGGTTGTTAGGTGAGGGTGGGGTAGGCTTCCCTGAAGAGATGGGTTTTCAGGGTGCACCTGAAGGTGAGGAGGGTAGGTGACAGTCTGATGGATTGGGGTAGGGAGTTTCAGAGGATGGGGGAAGTCCTGGATAAGTCCTGCAGTCGGGCGTGGGATGAGGAGACCAGGGAGCTGGAGAGTAGGAGGTCCTGTGAGGAGCGAAGATTATGGGTAGGGTGGTATTTGGGTATCAGGTCAGTTAGCTAGTTTGGGGCAGCGTTGTGAATGGCTTTGTATGTCAGAGTTAGTCATTTGAATTTAATGCGTTGGGCAATCGAGAGCCAGTGAAGGGATTGGCAGATGTGGAGCGGTTGGTGAGGTAGAGAAGTCTAGCCGCAGAGTTCAGGATAAACTGGAGTGGGGACAGCATTTGTTTGGGTAGGCCAGTGAGAAGGGAGTTGCAGTAGTCCAGGCGTGAGATAATGAGGGAGTGTACGAGTTGTTTAGTAGTGTCTGGGGTGAGGAACGTGCGTATCTTGGAGATGTTGCAGAGGTGGAGCCTGCATGACTTTGGTAGTGATTGGACATGAGGTTGGAAGGAAAGATTTGAATCCAGGGTGACACCCAGGAGTTTGGCGTGTGGGGTGGGAGTGATGGTGATGTTGCTAGTCGAAATGGGCGCGGGCTGGGGGGAAAACTAGGAGCTCGGTTTTGGACAGGTTTACCTTGAGGAAATGGAGCGACATCCAGTCTGATATGTCGTTCAGAAGGTGGGCGATGCGGGCGGAGAGTGAGGGGGTGGGGTGAAGGGTGGAGAGGTAAATTTGTGTGTCATCAGCATAGAGGTAGCAGTTGTAGCCGTGGGAGTGGATCAGTTTGCCAAGGGAGGCGGTGTAGATGGAGAAAAGGAGGGGTCCAAGGACAGAGCCTTGGGGGACTCCAACAGAGAGCAGGAGAGAGGGGAGGTGGCAGCGTTATAGGTGACACTAAAGGAGCGTTGGGATAGGTAGGAGGAGAACCAGGAGAGAGTGGCGTCCCTGATGCCAAAGGAGTGCAGTTTAGTAAGGAGGAGGGGGTGGTCGACTGTGTCGAAGGCCGCGGAGAGGTCGAGGAGCAGGAGGACTGAGTAGTGGCCATTAGCTTTGGCGGTTAGCAGGTCGTTAGTGATTTTAAGTAGGGCAGTTTCGGTGGAGTGTAGGGGACGGAAGCCAGACTGTAGTGGATCAAGGAGGTTGTTGTCAGCGAGGTGGGAGCTTAGGCGATTGTAGGCTAAGCGTCAAGGAGCTTGGAAGTGAATGGCAGCAGGGAGATGGGTCTAAGGTTGTTTAGGACAGTGGGGTCAAGGGAGGGTTATATATATTTTTTGAAAATCAAAAAAAGGCAGAATGATGCCTTTTGTTGCCACGGTCTATTCCTCCTGTTTGTGGCAGTATAATCCAACAGACTAAGAATTCTATATTCACCTCCTCTATGGCAATGTGTCCTGTAGACCCACCATAGTCCAGCACTTTTCCTCTCCACTCATGAATGATGTCTAATGTTATTCAAAGCATTAAGGGTGCATCTTTGAGCTGCCCTAGTCTAAGGGGAGAATGCTGCAGAGAACAACAGTGCAGTCATTACATAAGTATTGTTTTTTGCAGAATTCAGGACTGCCCAGCACTGGGGGGTTGGGGGATTTGACAACAGAAACCTGGAGCTGGGCTTTAACACTCCCCAGACAGAGCTGAACCTGTAGTTATAAAGCTCTGCCTGATTAGTAAGTACCACGAGGTCTTGTCCTCTGAAGAGAGCTTATGGGCACCCTAAAAACTCTCTGTAATGCATAGTTTCTGTTCCACCTAATGCATGCTACTGGTCTGCCACTGCAACAGTTGATCTCATTTACCAACTCTATAATGCACATGTGGTGGCAGAGTCAGACCATAGAAGCATGTTGGTTATCACATTATATAGCTGTCTGAGTCTCTGGGTACGCAGGCACCCTGTTGGGGAATGAGGCCCATACACAGGAAGATGGAGGTGCAGGTTCCCTGCTTTGCAAATATTGCTGAAGTGGACACTCTTTAGACTAACATCTACAAGCTAATATTAAACCATCTCCTTGAAGCTTCTTTAGTGCTTTGCAAATGTTTGCTGGAACTGCTGCTCTATAGATTTCCATTTACAAGCTAGAATTAAACAGTACCTGTGTGTTTAGAGCCTGGGGCTTGGAAATGGGAAATACGACATTATGTAATTGCGGATTATGCAAGAGCATAGGAAGCATGCATTCATGTATCTTTGTAGATTAATACAACAATTATTTTTTATTTAGGTAAAAAAAAAAAAAAAAAACTTGATAATACTGCCTTATGTACCATTTAAATGATCAGTGCTATCAATTACTTTCTCCTTCAAAACTGGATAACAATCTCATAATCATCCTGAGTGGTCTCAATCCTGCAAATGTACTTCTCGATTGCTCTTAATACTGTACACAAAATAAAGATGTAAGTATTCTATACAAATGGAGAAAATGAAAGGCAGCTGGATTCTAAAGGTTTGCAGCGAGCAACATGTCTGTTTTCTTTTTCTCCAGATTTATAGAATGACTTATTTTGTACATATTAAATGTTCATTATGTATTTGTATTACTTTAATCTTTACGTGCATTATAACGGAAGTGCATCAAAATATATTAAAAAGTTATTTAGACATTATTACAATGTAATAGAGATCAAGTACAAGTAACCTAGCTGGCCAAGTATTCATCATATTTATATGAAATAAAATTGAATTAGCTTGTCATACGCTGCCAGGAAGCTTTCAGAGATCAGCTCCGTTGATGAGATTAAGAGGTCCAGTGTATGCAATTTGCTCCTAATATATCATAAGCATACAGTGCATATTGATATCATTACTCATCATACAAATGCCAACAGTATAAATATGCACTTCATATCCACAGAACAATTATCAGGCATGTTTGTTGCTATTATGTGTTCCATTTTTCACTTAAGTAAAGCAACATTTATTAAATAATACTGAGTAGTTTCACTTTTGTTACCTGAGAATGACCAGAGCATTGTGTCACAATAACATTTTAACAATTCAGAATATTCTACTTTACACAATAATAAAGTGAATATTCCCAGATATAGTTTATATGCAAAACAGCAATTCCATGTGAATGTCTACTTGCAACTGCTCAGGTTTCACTCAGTTATGTAGATAAAGAAAAATGCAAACACACTGAGACTCAAAAGGTGAACTATATGTTATAGTTTGGCTGATTACTACCTTATTGCACAATCTTTCTTTTTCTATACTGTATTTTATATGACTATAACCGAACCTTTGTTATGTAGACTGATTAACTGAGCATTAGTGTGGGGCTGACTACAACCTAATCACTACAATGTCTTGACAGCTGTAACATGAATTTTCAAGACCAGAACAAGCTAACTAACATGTCTTCGATAACATGCTCTGATTTAGCATCACTTGGGATCTTTACAGTATATTCTTTGTAAACAATTTCACCATGCAAATACTATTGTAGGGCCCACACTTGCATTAATAAATAACTATGTGAGTTTTGTGTATGGCAGCACGGTATTCCAAGAAGAGGCTTTGACTCAGGTATGTGTAATGGCTGTGCTGGGGGACACAAGCTATTAATGTGTAATGGGGGGGGGGGGGGGGTAAAATAGAGCTACAGACAGGCCATTACAGCAGAAGCACACTGGTCCATAAACTACAATATGAGAAGACAGGCCTCAAATCTGTGCTGTAGTAAATGTAGCATCAGCGATTGCAGTGATGTTCAGACTACAAGAGGATGCAGACACCAAGCTGCTTAAAATTACACAATGTCAGATTAGCAAACACTAGACTGACTGTTGTGTAATATGTTATAAATGACACTCAGCCTACCTGCAGACCCTAAATGACAGTGAAATAAGCACACAAAATGTAAACAGCATGTCAGATATTGGAATGCCTATGCTAGAAGACCAGTCAACAAGAATGATCCCCTTTAGAACTACCACCTCTGAGAACCAAAGGAATGGAGATCAATGTGAAGGCACAAAAAAAAAAAAAAAAAATATGCTGAGCATTTAAATTATTTTAGTTGCAAGATAGACATGTTGAATTTGAACACGGAATAACTGTTCTACAGTTTTAGGCCTAGTTGTTTCACTCTTTTTTCTCTATTGTCTTGTTCAGCTCTCGGAAGCTGATGTTAAACTCTTTAAACATCTGGATTAATATAACCCCAGTGGATACAGTGATAAAGCCACATAGTATGGCCAAAAGGTCCACTGCGCCTACGTTAGTCCACTCCTGAAAAAGGATGGCTGTTGCCAGTAGGACTAATGTTGTGAAAGTCACATAATAGATGGCGCTAAATATGCAAGAGTCAAAGTCTTCCAGTGCTTTGTTTATGTAGCGAAATTGAATGAGGATGCTACATCCCAACACTGCTAGGAGGCACAGGAAAAGGTGTCTTGCCCCTGGGCTGCTTGGATCACTGGTAAAGGCATCTTGTGCAACCAGGCCAATGCCCTTAGTGCATGGAACAGTGAACGTACCCAGCAGTGAACATACCCCAATGTAAACCATGATATTTTTCTTCCCGTAAACTGGTGCAAGCCAAAATATCAGCAACGTCAGCATCAGGAGCACAACACAGAGGTAGCTCAGAAACACTGAAAAAGAAGGAAACAAAAAGTTATAGCTTCATTATAATTATTGTGCACACTGCTATCTCACATGTAAATTCATTCATGTTCAAGCTTTGTCAAAAGACTGCTTTTCAGTCTTCGCTTACATTTTGCCTAGATGTTCTCCACAAGCATATTCAGAAGCACCATAAAAGCAGTGCACTGGTGGGCCATTTCACAAAGCATAATGCACACTGCATTTTTATTACCATGTGTTATTTAAAAATTGTGAAGCACAAAAATTAATATTTCAAAAAGAGAGGTTGATTGACTTTACTGCATGCAGGGTAATTGCCATTATTTTGTGTGAACTAGTTAATGTAAACCAAATACTTTCTGCTCTTTTAACATCTGTTGAGAGCAGAAAATGGGAGAGCTTAAAGCGTGTTTTGCAGCCAAACTGGGAGAACACCTACAGTTGTGTTCAAAATAATAGAGTGTTGAAAAAAGCGAATAAAGCTCAAAATCCTTCTAATAGCTTTTATTTCCATACACACAAATGCATTTGGGAACACTACACATTCTATTCCAAATCAAAACATGAAAAAAAATATATCAAATTTGTGTGTTGTTCCTATAAAAAAATTGAAGAAAAATGAATATTAGACTGTTCAAAAAAAATAGCAGTGTTTGTATTCTTCTTTACAAACTCAAACATTCACTATATAAACTGAAATATGTTTGAAGATTTTGCTTTCCTTTGAATCACTTAATGAACATTTAGTTGTATAAGCACTGTTTCTGAGAACTATGTACATCTGTGTTGCATGGAGTCAACCAACATCTGGCACCTGTGAACAGGTATTCCAGCCCAGGATGATTGGACTACATTCCACAGTTCTTCTCTGTTTCTTGGTTTTGCCTCAGAAACTGCATTTTTGATGTCACCCCACAAGTTTTCTATTGGATTAAGATCCGGGGATTGGGCTCCATAACGTCAATCTTGTTGGTCTTTAACCAAGATGTTGCACGTTTACTGGTGTGTTTGGGGTCGTTGTCTTGTTGGAACACCCATTTCAAGGGCATTTCCTCTTCAGCATAAGGCAGCATGACCTCTTCAAGTATTCTGATGTATTCAAACTGATCCATGATCCCTGGTATGCGATAAATAGGCCCAACACCGTAGTATGAGAAACATCCCCATATCATGATGCTTGCGCAACCATGCTTCACTGTCTTCACAGTGTACTGTGGCTTGAATTCAGTGTTTGGGGGTCGTCTGACAAACTGTCTCCGGCCACTAGACCCAAAAAGAACAATCTTACTTTCATCAGTCCACAAAATGTTGCGCCATTTCTCTTTAGGCCAGTTAATGTGCTCTTTGGCAAATTGTAACCTCTTCAGCACATGCCTTTTTTTCAACAGTGGGACTTTGCGGGGGCTTCTTGCAGATAGCTTGGCTTCACATAGGCGTCTTCTAATTGTAACAGTACTCACAGGTAACTTTAGACCTTCTTTGATCTTCCTGGAGCTGATTGTTGACGGAGTCCTTGCCATTGTGGCTATTCTTCTATCCATTCGAATGGTAGTTTTTTGCTTTCTTCCACTTCTTTCAGGTTTTGGTTGCCATTTTAAAGCATTTGCGATAATTTTAGCTGAGTAGCCTATCATTTTCTGCACTTCTTTATAGGTTTTCCCCTCTTCAATCAACTTTTTAATCAAGGTACGGTGTTCTTCTGAACAATGTCTGGAACAACCCATTTTCCTCAGAATTTCAGAGAGAAATGCACAGTAACTAACATGTACAACATTTGCTGCCTTCCTTCCTTAAATAAGGGCAATAATTGCCACCTGTTTTTCAAAGAATGAATGACCTCACTAATAGAACTCCACACTGCTATTATTTTGAACATGCCCCTTTCAATTAGTGATTCAATTACACAGAATCAGCAGCATGCATGTCATGACTGTTGGGTCTGTTGGATTTCTATTACTCTACTACACCTGCCAGTAAATTATTTGCCTTGTAGAAATGTAATTTCTACCAAAAACAGTGATTGATCAGGTTAGTGATGTCTGACTGCTATTATTTTCAACACAACTGTACTTTGTACTTGTTACATTTTCCCATTACCATAGCGTAGCACAGGACTTAAAATTTCAAGTCCTGAGCTACTAGCCAGACCTTAAGAGTTACTCGCCACCAACAAACACAAACAGAGACACCTGTACACACACACACACACACACACACACACACAGAAATACACACGCACAGACACATGTACATACATACACATGTAGATGCACACACACACGTACATACATGTACATACATGCATACACATGAACATGCATACACAAACACACACATGCTGTTAAGTGCTCTCTCCTCTCTCCTGAAGCCACCACAGCCCTATAAAAAGTTGTAGTACTTCGTTGTTCATGCACAGAGCCGGGTACTGCACTCTAGGGGGAGGCAGAGAGCACAGCACACACTCCCTTTGCTTTCACTGCTATTGAGCAGTCTGACGGCTCCCAGTGCCAATGGCAGATCCGGCCTGAGCTCCGAGCCTGCTCCGCAAGACGTCCCTGGGGTACACACTCGCCCCCACCATAACTGCCATTGGCGACTGGAAGTTCAAGGCCTGGCGTAGCCTACACAAAAAAAAAAAAAAAAAAAAAGCAGCTGACTACTTTTTATTACTTCCCTAATAATCTTTACATGCTCTCCCTGCTTTGTGATCTTTAAGAGGAGGCTTTGGAGTAATATTGAACATAGCTAACTCTGTAAGAACTGTATTCTCAGTTCTTAGCTTTGAACACTTTGTCCTAACAGAGTTAAAAATTTAGAATCCACCATTCTGCATTGTATTTTAATGATACTTGGAGTGATGAATTACTGGCACTGGAATCTTAGTTGAACAGAGTTTTCATGTTTGGATTTGATTTTGTCACAGTTGTACTAGCGGTGAGCCACTGGGGTAACCAAGTAATATGTGGGCTGCTTTCATACGTTCACATACTGTCACAGGAACCCCAGGAAGTAAATGCAGTGTTCAGAGTCTAAAAATCAAAGCACCACTCTAAAACTTCAGAGTCTATAGAAGTAGGGTTTTATTCCAAACTTATAGTGAATAAATGACCCACTGCATTTCAGGGACCACAAGGCTTACGGCTACAATATAACTTAAAAACAACATGTAAATCATATGTAATTAAAAAAAGTTAAAAAAAGAGGAAAAAAAAAAACAACTTTCAGTCTTTTAACCTATACATAAAAATCCTAACCTAAAAATAAAAAATCTTTTTATGTTGCAATGTAGCACTGATGAAGGGGGAACTGCATGACCTGTGAAACACGTTGGCTCATTTATTCAATATAATATATAAAACCCCCCTTTTTTTTTTACTTTCACAGTTTAGTGGAACTTCCACTCCACCTTTGTCCTAGTCATAACTCTTATCAGGAAAGGAATGTGTTCAATACATAGAAAGCAATAACAGCTAGACAGAAGGGTTTCACCTCTTCCCCACTCTATGCAAAATTTAGGATAATACACTGTGTATGATGTTTAAAAAACTGTGCATGATGTTATTTAGTATAACCGTACTAAAACTTTATATAGTGCTAGGAAAAGACAATCCATGTGCCAACATTGCATTCTCTTAAAGTGGTAGTAAACTCTCTGTATACTTTTACCTACAGGTAAGCTTATAATAAAGCTTAGCTGTACTTAAAATGAATATCTCCTAAACTTGTACTGTTCAGGACATGTTCACTCTTTTTGAGAGCCAAAGCTTGTGTTATAAAAAGGGACGACATACTGGTGCTGTTCTTTCAGAGCACTGTGCCATGGCCCAGGACTCCCATGCGCAGGAGTGACGTCACTGCAACTCGGCCAGTCAGATGGCCGGAGCTTGCGAACCCGGAAGACCGGGTGAAGATGGAAGCCTCTGCAGCGCTGACACTGTGCCGCTGCAGGGTTTCGTTTTAAGGTAAGTCCTTCATAATGTGCTAGTATGTGATGCATACTAGCACATTATGACATTACATTGCAGAGTATTTTACTACCGCTTTAAGTATTGACATTCCTGCCACAGGTTCTTGACATTAGACTACATGCTATGAGTATATCGTCTGATCAATGACCTCAGCAAAAATTATTGGTTCTTTCCTGGACTGTGGACTTTTGACACTTAGGGCTCATGTACACTGCAGCTGATAAACTGACATTCAGGAGCTTTTCTGCATTTTTTTTTCAGCAGCCCCTGAACTCTCCCTAATGTTTTCCTATGTGTCCACGTGCACATAGTCGTTTAAAGTCATTTACAGGCAGTTGAGTTTACAGTTGTTTTTTTGAACGCAGCAAAATTGCGTTCACGAGTAGATTTTACCGGCGTTTCAAATGCCAAACACTTGTAAATGCATGTAAACGTAGTTAACCGCATTTATAAGCGTTTGCGTTTAGAAGCGTTTTTTGACAGGTCCATATCCAAGGCACAAGTGGTATCCGTCCGCACCCGAGTATGCGGTAAGATACCGCATAGCATTTAAAAAAAAAAAACCATTGAATCCACTAAAAACGCTACTAAAATACCACGAGTTATTTTATCAAGTGATGAGGAATTTTGGTAGTGAAAAGCATGCATCATGTTTCGGCTGTCAGCGGGGTTCCCCACTGACAGCTGAATGTAGAAGAAAGAATTGCCGGCAATTAAAAAAATAATTATTAAAAAAAAAAACAGCATGGGGTCCTCCCTCCCATGTGGTATAGATTTTGAGGGGAAGCCCCACGCCACAATTAAAAAAAAAAAAAAAAAAAAAAAAAAAAAAAATGGCGTGGGGTTCCCCCCAAAATCCATACCAGACCCTTATCCAAGCATGCAGCCCGGCAGTACAGGAAAGAGGGGGGGGGGGCGCGAACCATTCCAGGCCACATGCCCTCAACATTGGGGGGTGCTTTGGGGTAGGGGGAGCTCCCCCCCAAAGCACCTTGTCCCCATGTTGATGGGGACAAGGGCCTCTTCCCCACAACCCTGGGCTGTGGTTGTGGGGTCTGCGGGCGGGGGGCTTATGGGAATCTGGAGACCCCCTTTAGCAAGGGGGCCCCCGGATCCTGCCCTCCCAAGTGAATGAGTATGGGATACACGGTACCACTGCCCATTCACAAAAAAAAAAAAAAAAAAAAAAAGCTGTAGTGTGAAAAAAGACAGGAGTCATTCTTTGACAAGTCCTTTAATAAAAGAATGTCCTCCGAAGTAGATCCAACATCAATCACGAAGGGCTGGGTATGGATGGAGAGGGGACCCCACGCGGTTTTTAAATTATTTTTTTAATTGCCGGCAATTCTTTTACATTCAGCTGTCAGTGGGAATCATGATGCATGCTTTTCACTACTAAAATGCCGCATGACTTGATAAAATAACTCATGCAGTATTGTAGTAGCCTTTTTTTAGTGAATTTATTATTTTTCAGTGCATTCTGGGCATTTGGGAAGGTCTCCTGAGGTTATCTTTTAAAAATGGTTCTAAATGCAAACGTGTGTAAACATGGCTAAACGCGGTATGCAAACGCGGTTAACTGACTTTTTTTAAGCTACGTTTTCCAGCAGTCAGTTTCGATCGTTCAGAAGAGTTTTCCCAAACATGAGTCCTTACTTGAAAGCTGGATTTTTTTTCCATACATTTATGGCTCAGTTGCTCTGACTCATCCATATCCATAAGAATTTGGTATGTTGGTTTGCTTTAGATTTCTTAAATGCTGTATGTGCGGGCAAAATGATTGTTTAGTACAGAGCCAGAAATCTTTTCAACAGACAAGGCTATTATTCATTATTTTTCCTATACAATTATTCTTACTTTTTTTAGTCATTAACTCTTACTTTTATAAGTCATTACTCTTGATAATCCTTATTAAAATTATTTTCATTACATTCCAATTTATAGACAATCCAAGTGTATATCTGCAGCATACTCAGAAGCCAAATGAAGGAAAATGGCTCGCATTTGAGACAGCTGGATTTTTTTTTTATTAAATAAGCTTTTTATTAAAGCCCAATTGCACTTTTTCCTCCATCCCTGCCAGAAGCAACCACACCACTTTTATTTTTATTTTTTTTTAAAAAGGAAAAAAACATAATACTTTTTTTTTGCAGTCTTTTTGCTGGTCCAATGACATCAAAGGTCAGCAGACTAGGATTAAGACCCTCCAGTCTTCTGGCTAAACAACATGGCACTTTGGCATGTGAGCCCAGGCCAAAATGATGATAGTCCCACAATGGGTGTGTTCACAATGACCTGGGCTTACAATAAATGTTTTGAATAACACTGGGTATTACTCAACCCATGAGACTGACATATAGTGGTGGAGAAGAAGCACTGCAGTGGATAGCTTTTTTTGCAAAAAAGGGTGGAGTTGGCCATCTATGGGTTTGATTTACTAAAGGTAAATAGACTGTGCACTCTGCAAGTGCAGTTACTCCAGAGCTTAGTAAATTAGGTAAAGCTTCCTTTTGCCAAGAATACCCAATCACATGTAAGGAAAATAACAAAAACAGCATTTTTGCTTGCACATGATTGGATGATGGAAGTCAGCAGAGCTTCTGCTCATTTACGAAGCTCTGGAACAACTGCACTTACAGAGCTAGTAAATGAGCAGAAGCTCTGCTGACTGCATCATCAACTACACATCATAGTGTAGTTTAGTTATAACCCACTTGTTATACGGTTTTCAATTTTCAACCATCAACCAACACAAATCACTCTGTCAGATGTGATAGACATAGTAAATTGTATACCTGGGTTAGAAAGCTTCTCTTCAAACTCAGCTCGAGACAAAATATTACCAGACTTAGGAGAGTGAATAATCAGAATGACAGAGCCCACACAGCTGAGTAGACATCCCAGTTTACCCAAGAAGTTGAGCCTTTCTTTCAGTACATATGAGGCTAAGAGAGACCTTTGAAATAGAAAAGAAGAATAAACAGTAAACTAGAGATAGCAGAAAGTAAAAGAATAATAAATAAGGAAAACAATATGCTGATTGCTTTTTCTTGAGGCTCAAAAAGGAACTCAAGAATACTGCTGGCTACAGGAGGTTGGGACACTGGCAAACAGAAAAAAGAAAGTGTTGTACTTCTACCCAGGATGCTTCAATTTTCCAAACAAGAAGTACATAGGGCCAAATAAACAGAGGGTTGGGACCAATATCCTTCAATAAACCTAAAATATTTTACAGTAAGTACAAAAATCTTATTTTCTTTATCATTCATTAATGTGGTAAAACTTTTTACCTTACTGAATTCTCTGCACTAAGGTAAAAAAAAAACAAAAAAATACCCCCCTCCCTCCAATACTTACCTGAGTCCTGTATCAAACCAGTGCTGTGCCCGTCTGCTGGTCTTCTCTACTCCCTTTCATGGGCTTAGCTGAAAGCCGTTGAAGCCATTAGCCATTGCGAGCTTCTATAACACATGTGCTGAGCATGTTCCTTGGCTGTCTCTGTAGCAGAATGTTTTAGGAAGTGCAGTAAACATGCACAACACCAGCCTGAGACAAGTCATGATGGGAAAAGACTGCCAAATTTAAAACCAAGTACAAATATTTATGGTGCCAACAAAGTACAACTGAGTAACACAATAAAAAGTGAATAGCTCCCCGATCCTGTACCTATGTACTTTGCATACTTTGTGTGCTAAGCACTGTGGGTTGTTTATAGCCAGGAACGGTCCAAATAACAGGAAAACCTTGTCTTATCTTATTCATGTTGCTGTGTCCATTACAGGTCCAGACTTTGCTCGTCACGGTGGTCATACCCCAAAGGGGGTATTCAGGGTGTGGTAACTATAGAGATGGAGGCCCATGACCATGGCCCTGGATCTGTATAGCACTTTGAGGCCAACTACAATTGTTGCAACAATGTTCCTAGGTGAGCACCTAATACAGGATCCAGTGCACAAAGCAGACATTACAGGCCAGCCCCACATAGTGGGGTCCGACTACAGTCTCCTAGGTAAAAACTGAAGGTTACAGATCCAGAAACTGCTAGACATATTGAGCAGTAAGCAGTTAAATCTCAATACAAGCGTCTGAAGGAAAAAAAAAAAAAAGAAAAAAAAAAAAAGGAAAAAACCTTCTCCAAAAGGAGAAGAGGTCCCTTTTCAAAACTCATGAAGTGGCTGTGTGTAAAAGAGTGTGCACTAGGGGAGGGCCCTAGCAAAGGTTTGCTCGGAGTTTGCATGTTCTCCCTGTGCCTGTGTGGCACACTCCAGAGACATGCTGGTAGTTTAATTGTCTCCTGAATAAACTGGCGCTAGTATGTGTATGTATGCATGTGAGTTAGAGATCTTAGATTTTACACTGCTTACGGGTGAACGTGTAATAAAAATGTAAAGCTCTGCAAAAATTGATGGCATCATACAAGTACCTGTAAAAAAAAATAAATATACGATTCTATGAATTGTCCATCCTACCCCTGGATCATCTGCTGTCAAGTGAGGGGTAGGAATCCTAGTACTAACACTGGGATTATTCAGCTGACAGTTAACAGGAAAGTGAAAGAAATCTAGGGAGACTTTCAGGAAACACCGTAGCCTGGTCAGAGAAGGATTTATCTTTCAGTAATCAGGCCTTCAAGGCCTCTAGGCTATTATACTTGGGGAAAATCTGCAGCAGGGTAACAGAGTGTCCTGCTTGCTAATCCTTCAGGGGAGTACAAAACCTTCCAGCGATGGACAATTCCTTGCCAGGAAGAAACAATTTAAAGTGGGACTCACCAAAAGAGGGCATTCAAAAGACAGTATCTTGACTAGGTCTGTTGCAGGGGGAGTTCTCAATCTTTTTGGAGGTCATAAAACTGAAACCTCTACACGAAGTCCAGCAGAGATCAGATCAAAGGACCGACAAAAGGAAACTTTGACGACTCAGGAACTGTTTGTTCCAAAGAATCAGACTCAAGGAGTAGTCACTAGGATACATCCATTAGGTGAGTCCTCCTAGGGTGGGGGACCATCCCCACCATGGCCAGAGTCTGGTAAAACGCACTCAGAAATTCATGGTACTATGAGACCAGCTTGGTGCCTTGCCTAAATTCCATACTCCCTAACAGGCAGACTGAAAAGGCTTAAGAAACTGTATGAAAAGGGAGACATGCTAAACAAGAATTTCATAACAATGCCATAAACCCCAAAGGGGTGAAAAGGAAGAAATCTTCTACATGCCAGAAAAGGGCCAAGGGAGTGGATTTTTTTTGCCAGCATTTGAACTGGGCAATCCTGCTCAAACATGACCCAAGATTACTAGCATTGGATAGTTGATAAGGCAGATCTAGACAAATATCACACACAGGGCCCTTAGCTTTGCGCAATCTGAAAAAGTCCAGGAAATTGAATCTGTGTTCCACAATGGGGATGCCAAGAAAAGGCACCCAGACCTGCTGGAAGACACTGAAGAGTCAGGTCCTTATTATGGAATGGAGCAGTAAGGACTCATACTTGTCAAACCATATAGGTCAAGAGGTCCCTCAAGACAGGGACAGGGCTGAGGAGCATTATCACAAGGTATGCAATCACATGTGATGGAAAAAAAGAGTGCAAATTTAAGTGAAATAACGTTTCCAAGGATATGTGTCTACCAGAGTATGAATCTGAGATCTCAGGATTAGGGGAACCCAAACAATCCTGAGAAAGAGCTCAATGGGGTGCAGTAATACCTGAAGGGTGAGGAGGGCTGGCTGAAGGAGATGCCTGAGCATCCAAATTGTGAAGAGTTAAAGTACTGTGCAAAGGGACCCAATAGGATGAGCAAACAGGTTTTCACTTGCAAAAGAGGAGACAAACCTTCATTTAGAAGGACAGGCAGATGAGAGAGGACTTCTGGCTTTGAGATCTGTGGCTTGAGCGTGAGGTAGACTCTAGTGACCTACAAGGTACTGCAGTAGTAAATAAGGGTTTGGGTTTCTCCTCCCAATCCACAGATCTCCTGAGATGAGGCAGGCACACAGTCCAACCACCAGTAGCATAAAAACTAACATTGTAAAGAGCAGGTCCAAGGAGACGTGTCTCCTTAAAGGGCAAGTAAATCAGATGTTCTTTGAGCATATCCTCTATGTTTCAAGCCATTAGTCCAAAACCCAAGCTTTCACAAATCTTTGTGACGGAGGGCTCAGCATTAAGGGATTTGATCCATAGTGAAATGGTTTTACAGGTCCAATTCACCACCAATAGGAGGATGGAGAGTCATTTGAGTTAACTCAAACTGAGACTTAAGTATGGGATTTGTTAGTGAAATCCCTAAAGGTAAAAATACCATCAACCTGTTTGGCAGTATGCTTGGTCATATGTATGACTGGAGTATACAGAAGGGAAGAGACCACTTACAAGCTCCTTCACATTTTTAAGAGGGTCCTATAATATTATAGGTTGCTTCCAATCATCACAGAGAGGTATTTAATTACTGAATGTATTGGGAAGGTCTTTGCAGCTGTAACAGCTCTAAAAGACCCTAGACCTAACACACTAGGATGATCTTTCAAATGCAGGGTAGAATGTACTGCATCTATCAGGTTAGCAACACATCCTTGTAAGTCTGAGTCATATGGAATTTGCTCAAATACAGTATTTTCAGGAGTTGGATAATGTCAATTACAACTGCTTTATTAGGAGATACTTTATTCAAATAGCTTTTTTGTTTCACTTACATATACACAGCTATTTTACAAGATAAATGATGCCTAATATATTTGTTATTTGCCATAAATATATACAATATAGTGCGTTACCTACCCAAACGGGATGCCCAGGGCACCCAGAGGAGTCACAAGCACAGCTGGTGCAGCAGTATATGCTAGGAAATTTCCAATCTGCCCCAAAGCCACTGCCAAAAAAGTAAGACTATCAGAAATCTATATAGCTGAGCCACAGGAAACTGAAGTTAACACATGAAACATTTACTCCAAGTAAACACGTCTGGGATTCACAGTAGGTTTAAGGATTCACACAGGGCGGAATCCACTTTGCTCAGCAGGAAATCTGTCCCCTGATCCTCTGCTGGTCAGAGCAGAGCGGGCAGATGACAGACCTGTATCAGGTCAGTTTGGACACTGACACAGCCCGCTCTGCTCTATCGGCGGTAGGGTGTAAAACTTTACACCCACTGATCTAATGTACCATTTGATCAGGACCGCCTGAAAAACTGATAGGCGGAACTGTTTAGATCATCCATGTGAAAGAGGCCTTAAAGTATAACTAAAGGCAAAACTTTTTTTCAGTTTTGGATAGAGTGGAGATAGAACACCTGTCAGTTTTTATTGCTGTCTGAGCCCCCGGTCAAGGAGATCCACCTTCGGATTGTACTATTTACCATTATCATTGAAAGTGAAAGTAAAAGAAAACCCCATATTCTGGATTGTCCTCAGAAAAGGAATAGAGGAGATATCTTCCAATGGGGACACTAGTTATGGTGACCTGGGGGTCCCCAAGAATTTCCCTTAATTTGCAGGGATTTTCTCTCACTTTCTGTTTGGCTATGGGACAGGAAGTGAAATCTCTGCAATGGGACACAGATGGTGAAAAAAAAATCTGACAGGGGCTATGATCCTCCCTATAGCTTTGCCTATGGTTCTACTTTAAGTGAAATCTATGCTCACAGCATACACTTATTTCATAATATCAACATTTTAATAGCAATACAAACAGTAGTAATTTTTGACAATTCAATATATGCTTCCCTAAAAAAGCTTTCATATTGTGAGTGCTACCTGTATGGTAACCATCTCATTGCACAAGTTCCTGGATTCCCTTCATGCTTTGCAGCTTTTTCTCTGTGGTTTAGTTTCAATTTATAATGACTACACTACTTCAACGGTACCTTGCTACCTGCAATCAATGATTTCTGTACTGGCTCCACATTCTGAAACTCTTTCCCTCTGTAGTTAGGAAGGCAGGCTCTGTGAATTCTGTGACACACGGGGCATAGTGAACATGTGTCAAGGAATTAAAAAAAGTAAATGTGTGGGGAGCATCATAAAGTAAGTTTACAAACTTCCAGTTTGTTTAGATTAAAAGGAGTAGGCTAGAAATAATTGAATTTCAATGTGGACATTTTCATGTGATTTTAAATTTTGACCATTGCTATGCTTTAAGTGATATTTAAACATCTACAATATGAAAGTACCATGAACAATCCATATAAATGGGTCAAATGTACTGTTTTCCCACCTGCAAATATGTAACTGGAATACTGTCCTATTCAGTTAAATATGAAAATCAATCTCTACCCTCACTGCATAGGCAGAGTGTACAGGTATGTAAAGGCTTAGAAAAGCCTAGACTGGTGGAACATAGTAAAAAGCATTTACAGGTCATCTGTTATATAGAAAATATACAGGTTGGCATTGTTATCCTTCTAGCTGTCTCTGACCTCAGAACTTTCTGTGTCAAAGTCCTGAACCAAGTGTGTAATCTGAACTTTTGATATAGATTAGTGACTCGGAACGCATTGAAACCAGGTTAGCATCACTGCCAGGCAACTAACATGTTTTAGTTGGAGGTTAACAGCAGCCCATTTATCTCTATTTAAGTTTAAATCCTTCCTGCCGAGCATATATGTGACCTCATGGAAGTGGGTCTTTATCCAGGGGCTACTTATATGTACTACTGTGTCTGTGCTGACAGCGCTCTGCTACAGGTCTCAAACGAATGATTGGGAACCATGATGTTCCCGATCACATTGATAACTTGTGATTGGCTATCACAGTATTTAGTCACTGTACAGCCCACCCCTGTTTTTTTTACCTCCCCTTGAATAGAGAAAAGGACTAAAAGAAAGACATTTCAACATTCAGAAATCAGTCCCAAAGAAAGTGGATCAAAGCTGTTTAACCCCTTCCCACTGGTGCATCCCAGACCTTTAAGAGGTTCCAGATGCCGTGAGTTGGAGAACGGCATTTCTCTCATGTAAATATAAACACTCCACAGCACAAAAATTGTTTATATTTATATTTGATTGGTTTCTTCCTTTTTTGAACAGCAGCATTTAAATTTAGATTGAAGTTTATATATTTTTTCTGTGGCGCAAGTTTATTTTTATTTCGCTCATGTGACCGCCGTGATTAGCTGTCACAGTGGTCACATGATCAAAAAGCTCCCGATTGCAAACAACAGAGATTGGCAGCTTTCCTTTAACCTGCCAGTAACTGTGCCGGGAGTGTGTATGGCGTGCGTTCCTGGCACAGCATTGTCTACATTTTGGTATGCATACATGTGGCCTCTCGGTGCTAAGGTCCACTGGCTGAGAGGCCACATATATGGGTATGGCTGGCTGTAAGAGATTAACCACTTGGAGACCAGACCTTTTTCTGACACTTTTTAGTTATAAGTAAAAATGAGTATTATTTTCTAGAAAATTACTTAGAACCTTCAAACGTATTTTTTAGCAGAGGCCCTAGAGAATAAATTGGTGGGTTTTGCAACTTTTTATGTCACACGGTATTTGCACAGCAGTTTTCTGAATACAAATGTTTTTGAAAAAATACTTAATGACATTTATTGCAAACAAATAAACCATCTTTTCTAATTTGCATGCTCATGGAATGGCAACGTCACCATAGACAACATTTTGGAAGCCTTTACAGGTTACCAGTTTAGAGTTACAGAGGCCTGGTGCTAGAATTACTGCTTTTGCTCTGGCAATACCTCATATGTGTGTGCAATCATCGTTTACATATGCGTGCGGGACCAACATGTGCGTTCATCTTTGCGTGCAAACACGGGGGCGGGGTGCTATAAAAAACACGTTTTTTTATTTTTTACACTGTTTCTTAAATTTTTTTAAATCACTTTTATTGCTGTCACATCCATTGTGACAGCAATAGGCAGTGACATGTACTCTTTATCTAATAGACCCTCAATCTCTCCACTGCCCTAAAACCATCTCATCACACCAAGACTGGTGTGTCCAGATGCTTTTCATATTTAAAAATTGCTGTTTACTTCCCGGAAACTGAAAAAACTTGTTACTTCAGGTTTCCTATACCATAGAGATTACCAGGGACATTCTGATCCTTGCCAATCTCTGTGGAAGCCGGTGTAAGCACTGGCTTTCATTCTGGGCTTGCCAGTGGGACAGTAGAGCCCAGAGAGGCACCAGCCGGGGGGGGGGGGGGGGTGACCCAGGTGACCCTCCCCCCACCACCTGTAAAATTCATCCAGCAGCTAACTAGCCACTAGGATGACTTTTACATAAAAGCCATCCACTAGCTTAAAAAAAAAAAAAAAAAAAAAAAAAAAAAAAAAAAAAAAAAAAAGGGGACACCCAGATGATGCCTGCAGGCATCATCCTGGTACAACCAGTTAATGCTAAATGATGTACGTGTACATGATTTGGCGTCACATGGATCATTTATAAAACACTCTTTTACTAGGTATAAGTGTAGGTTAGACATATCAAGGGTTCCAACGTGTTCAATTACCTCAACAATGTAAGAATATTAAAGTGTACATACAGCCAACCTTTTTTATTTTAGGATAGAAATTAGAAGGGTTAAAAACCATGCCAGGTTTTAAAAGCAGAACTATACTCGCCTTAGTTCCAGTGATGCAGCGTCCCTCTGCTCCCTTCCCATCCGCTGACATTTTTGAGTGCCTGGCTTCCGGGTCTTGGTTGCCCACCACTGTCATTGGCCAGGCGCACATGAGTGGGAGTTCAGTCAGATTCGGCATTGCCAAATTTGTACAGCAAGCTGCGCATGTGTGGCTCACTGTACAGCGGCGGAGAGGCAGGTAAGTAACTTTAATGCAGAAAAGACAAAGCATGCCTCTTCTGCATATTATTTTTGCTAAAGTTCCACTTTAATTGCTGTGTGTATTCCCACTTGGGAGATACACCCTCACAATTGGTCCTGGTAACCATTGTTTTACTTCATTTAGTTTAGAGGTCTGGGTGGTGGAAGGTTCGGAATGGATCGAATGAGTATTAACTTATTGTGCTCTGTTGGATTCTCCTTTGTAAATAATGTCTTAAATGTAACATTTGGCAACAAACTCCCTCCTTCTGCTAGATGACCACTAATACAATGTATCTTTGTATTCATCCACAACTGTGAGGGCCAGTTTATGCCAGAATGCAGTGCGAGCAGACCCCAGAAGAGAAAGTTCAGGGCCACTCTGTGCAAATGTATTGCACAAAGAAGGCAAGTATAACATGTTTATTACAATCACTTTAAATGCTTACCTTTTCTTACTGAATATATCAACAATCTCATGAATGATAGTTCAGATACATGTAATTCTCTAAATAATACATTTAAACAACAAACATGATTGTCACTTACTTGTAATAGTGCCGATCCACCATATAAAGTCTGTGAGGTAAGATGCACCTACAATAAATGTGGAACACATGACACCTTTTTATGATACACAGTGCTGTCATTCAGTTAGGATTTAAATATGCTTTCAGAACAGACTTTAAAATATATGTATATCCAATAACTAAAATGTCATATGAACTTTAATATGAAAAAATGTTCAGGCACCTCCTGTTGTAGGGTGACAATGTTCTGTTCTTGGCTCCCAATTGTACTGCTTTGTTGTCACCCTGTTACACAGACTTCCGATGGAATCTACAAGTAGTTGTTTTAACAAACATTATACAGGCATTACAATTCATAAAACCTATCTTAAGAAATGCCTTGCAGCCATTGCATGAATGTAGATGAGAGCGATTCACACCAGACATCCCAAGAATATTGCTACACTGAAACAGTTTTGTGAAGAGGAGTGGTCCAAAATGACTCCAGATCGTTGTGCAGGTCTGATCTGCAACTACAGGAAACGTTTGGTTGAGGTTATTGCTGCCAAAGGAGGGTCAACCAGTTATTAAGTCCAAAGGTTCACATACTTTTTTCCTCCCTGCACTGTGAATGTTTACATGTTATGTGCAATTAAACCATGGCAACATCTAATGTTTGTGTAGTATTATGTTCAGCAGACTGTGTTCTTCTATTGTTGTGACTTCAATGACGTTCAGAGCACATTTTAAGCCCAATTCATGCAAAACTCCACGTAATCCCAAGGGGTTCACATACTTTTTCTTGCAACTGTAGGGTTGCACCAATACGTTTTTTTTTAATGGATGAGTTGAAGTACCTATACTTGCGCTCAAGTACTCACCGATACCAACTGCTGATAGCTTTGCGGTGTGAACTGATTCCATACAAAATGAATCGGCTCAAATCGCACTGCAAAGAATCGCATGTAATTTGAACTGAAATTGCTCTACTTCAGCTTAAGTAGCAGTGCGATTCCTGTCCAAATCACACGTAGTTTCCCTGAGGGTGCAGTGGGATTTGCAGTGCAATTTAAGCCATACAAAATGAATGTCTCAAATCACACTGCAAATCGCACCACACCTGCAGGGAAACCGCATGTGATTTGGACAGAAATCGCATCGCTACTTCAGCTGAAGTAACGTGATTTCACTTCAAACTACACACAAAACTTTGCAGTGCGATTTGAGCCCATTCATTTTGTATGGGCTAAAATCGCAAAACAAAGGTAGCAGAGCATTTGGATGAGTGCCAGTACTTTTGCAATTGCTTAGTATCGCACCGATACAACTAAAAACTTAATCAACTAATTTATGTTAGAAAATGACCTAAAATCACCAAACTATTATATCTTTTCTGAAAGCAGAGGCCCTGTAGAATACAATTGTGTGTTGGTGCTATATAAATCCTGTATAATAATAATAATGGTAGTTGTGATCTCTTTATGCTGAATAATATTTGCGTAGTTGCTTATCCGCTGCATATTTTTTGCAAAAAAATTTACACTAAAATTAATTTCAGCACACGCTATATAATACCCATTTGGTAAAACATACCATTTAGTTTTGATTCCAGTAAAAAGATTCCAGACATGTTAAGCCTTAAATTTGCATGCATCAGTGAAATGGAAAAAAACTGCCCCAAGATGACACTTTAATAGCGCATCACTTTAGAGTTAACTGTGAATGATAGAATGATTATGCTCACTAATGTTTGCGATGATATGTCGCATGTGTGAAGAGAATTGCTGTTTACCGCATTCCCCAAGTGGCTGCAGTTGAGCACCATTTATAGGGTTAAAACACACCATGAGGAGGTAACATATTGCTTCCTCACCCCTTGTCAAACACCTTCTGAATACAAATCATTTTTCACAGATGAGGCAATCTTGCCACACATCTCTAAAAGTAACCATACTGTGGTGATTAGCATTTTTCTGCACTGGATCAATGCAGTCACTGCAAGGTCACATAGTAAACAATTCTTTTCTCAGTGCCCCATTCACACCAAAACTGGTCTGAGCTGTGTTGCAGTGCATAATGGAAAAATGCAGGTATTTTTTGCAGCACGCTGAATGGCACTGCAGAGACCTGAAGGCTAGGTTCACACTATGAATTGCCTATAAATCGCACAGAAATATGCAGCACATTCCTGTGAAATTCACATCTGATTCAATGCGGTGCAATTTGACCACATTCATTTTGAACAGGCTCAAACTGCAATGCATTGCACCAAAGTAGTGCATGCATTACTTTTAGAAAAGTGCCCTAACCAGATCACATAGTACACTAATACCATGCGATCTGGAACAGGCAAACGCACTGTGTTTGCAAGCTGCGTTTGGGGTCTCATTAACTTAACATTGACACCCACTGCAGATTACAACTTCAGTGTGATTTGAATGCAGTGTGGGAAATGTGCAGGGATCTCGGGTTTCCTGCACTGTTTTAGTGTGAACACATCCAATAAAGTAACAAAAAAAAAAAAAAAAAAGACAAAAATATGTAAACAGTGCCTTTCATTACAAAATGCAAGGATACTGGATAAACACAGGTCACTAGAAAACAACTGTCTTTCACAGCACTGGATGGCACCTGCATGACCATACCAGGCCATTGTGAAATGGCATGAATGAAGTGTTACTATTTAACAGTTAAAAAAAAAAAAAAAAAATTGCTCTGCTCCCAGCTGGAGCTGGCACTGAACTAGCCAGCATTGTAAAACACTGCATTTTATTTGGCAGGCTATTGTGAATGTAGCCTTATGAAAAGTTCACAAAGGCACTGATATTCAAAGCAGCTTTTAATGCATGTTAAATGCTGATTCACTGCACAGGTGTTCAAGCCTTGTCAAGTGATGCTCCTCAAAGGCCTTGTGAGTTTTTTGGTTTTTTTTTGATAATGCCAAAATGGGAAATGGTCGCTTCGGAGGCTTTGCACCCATGACTTAAACGCACTGGAAACACCATAGGCACACGTATGATGCATTTCAATAGAAGTTAATGATGGCGGCTGCAAAGCACCATCCCCGATCAAACTCTGCATGCAGGGTGATTTTTTGCCTTACTGCAATACAAGCCAATGCGAACGCTGCCTTGTGTACACCTCCATCTGCTCCTTGTTTTAACAATTGTAAGTGGCATTAACGGGCAGTTGAGAGACGTTAAAAAAAGCAAACCTAACTGCCTATTTTTAATGTCAAGGATTTACAGACAGGTAACATGATCATGTCAGGCTGCTGGCTCTGCCAAGCTGCATTGGAGCCAGGATTATGCAGGCAACCATCAGATAGCAGGTCAATCAGCCACAGCATGAGAAACTGCTAACTAAAGCATAGACAGTCAGTTTGTCTTTTTCAGCCAGTAGGAAGCTGTCAGAATACACTGATCAGCAGGTGCAGCCGCTAATTGAGGACAGTTTTCAAGAATGTCTTTTGGCAGAAGTTGATCAAAGGAACAAAGTCTATCAAGCAGGGACAGCTGCACATATACAGGTGAAACTCAAAAAATTTGAATATGGTGCAAAAGTTCATTTATTTCAGTAATGCAACTTAAAAGGTGAAACTAATATATGAGAGAGACTCATTACATACAAAGCAAGGTAGTTCAAAGGTGATTTGTCATAATTGTGATGATTATGGCTTGCAGCTCATGAAAACCCCAAATCCACAATCTCAAGAAAATTAGAATATTACATGCAATCAATAAAACAAGGATTGTACATAGAACAATATCAGGCCTCTGAAAAGTATAAGCATGCATATGTACTCAGTACTTGGTTTGGGCCCCTTTTGCAGCAATTACTGCCTCAATGCGGCGTGGCATGGAAGCTATCAGCCTGTGGCACTGCTGAGGTGTTATGGAAGACCAGGATGCTTCAATAGCGGCCTTCAGCTCTTCTGCATTGTTCGGTCTCATGTCTCTCATCTTCTCTTGGCAATGCCTCAGATTCTCTATGGGGTTCAGGTCAGGCGAGTTTGCTGGCCAATCAAGCACAGTAATCCCACGGTCATTGAACCAGGTTTTGGTGCTTTTGGCAGTGTGGGCAGGTGCCAAGTCCTGCTGGAAAATGAAGTCAGCATCCCCATAAAGCTCGTCGGCAGAAGGAAGCATGAAGTGCTCCAAAATCTCCTGGTAGACGGCTGCATTGACCCTGGACTTAATGAAGCACAGTGGACCAGCACCAGCAGATAACATGGCTCCCCAAATCAACACAGACTGTGGAAACTTCACACTGGACTTCAAGCATCTTGCAGTGTGTGCCTCTCCATTCTTCCTCCATACTCTGGGTCCTTGGTTTCAAAATGAGATGCAAAAGTTGCTCTCATCAGAAAAGAGGACTTTGGAACACTGAGCAACAGACCAGGTCTGTTTTTCTTTAGCCCAGGTAAGACGCTTCTGACGTTGTTTGTTGTTCAGGAACGGCTTGACAAGAGGAATACGACATTTGAAGCCCATGTCCAGGATCCGTCTGTGTGTGGTGGCTCTTGATGCACTGACTCCAGCCTCAGTCCACTCCTTGTGAAATTCCCCAACTCTTTTGAATGGCCTTTTCCTGACAAGCCTCTCCAGGCTGCGGTCATCCCTGCTGCTTGTGCACCTTTTTCTTCCACACTTTTCCCTTCCACATAACTTTCTATTAATGTGCTTTGATACAGCACTTTGGGAACATCCAACTTCTTTTGCAATTACCTTTTGAGGCTTTCCCTCCTTATGGAGGGTGTCATTGATGTTTTCTGCACAACTGTCAGGTCAGAAGTCTTTCCCATGATTGTGATTCCTACTGAACCAGACTGAGAGACCATTTAAAAACTCAGGAACCCTTTGCAGGTGTTATGGCTTAATTAGCTGATTAGAGTGGGACACTTTGAGCCTAGAATATTGCACCTTTTCACAATATTCTCATTTTCTGAGATTGTGGATTTGGGGTTTTCATGAGCTGTAAGCCATAATCATCACAATTATGAGAAATCACAGCTTGAACTATCTTGCTTTGCATGTAATGAGTCTCTCTCATATATTAGTTTCACCTTTTAAGTTGCATTACTGAAATAAATGAACTTTTGCACCATATTCTAATTTTTCGAGTTTCACCTGTAGTCAGACTGAAATGCAGCTAGTTCAGCAGTGACTGACCAAATTTTGGACTGCCTATGGCTGGCTTAAAACAGACTTAAAGTCCCACAATAGAAAATTAGAATTACACTTCAGCATTCATGCTGGGATGACTGAACTCCTGCACATCCGCAGAAGTGACATCATTTTACGCCAGCTGATGAAGACAGCCACAGCCCAGCCCAGAAGAAGCCAGGTAGGAGACGCTGGCCCCGGCGAGGGACGTTGAACCGCTGAAGAAAAAGTAAGTATCATGGAGTTTATTTGCACTTTAGCCCTGGTTCACACTAATGCGGTACAGGCAAACGCAGTGAATCCTGTGCATTTCCCGCACTGCAATGGGACGGCATCCATGCGATTTAATATGGGTGTCAATGTTAAATTAACGACACCCTGAAACAGATCGTAAAATGCAGTGCAATTACCAGAATTCGCATCGCGTGGGTGTGAACACCCACGCGATGCGAATCAGATGCGGGGAAAAAAAAAGGTCCTGCTCCTTTTTGGTGTGGATGCAATGCGATTTGAGCCATACAAAATGTATGGCTCAAACTGCACCACACAGACATCACATCTGATTTGCACAGGAATGCGGTGCAGTTCCTGTGCGAATCACATGCGATGTGCTGCATCGCATTAGTGTGAACCAGGGCAGATATGGTTGTAAAGGATCAAGGTTTTTTTAAAAAATCCTCTGTGTGCAGCAGCGCCTCCAGTACTTACCTGAGCCCCATCTTGTTCCAGTGATGTGCACCGAGAGCTTTGACTGTCCTGGGTCTCTCCCTCTTCATTGGCTGGGACATTGGTTCCAGTTACTGCCAATCACAACCAGTGAGCCAATGAGGAGAGAGCGGAAGGGGGGGGCTGAGTCGCGTCTGCGTGTGAATGGACACACAGAGCAGCGTCTCAGGAGCGAGCCTGCTCGAGTGCCCTTACAGCAAGCTGCTAGCAGTAAGGAGGGACCAGGAATGCCAACGGGGACCAAAGAAGAGGAGAATCAAGGCCGCCAAGTGTAAAACCAATACACACAGCAGGTGAGTATACCATGTTTGTTTGTTTGTTTTGTTATTTAAATCTGCCTTTACAATCACTCTAATTCTAGAGGAACCCTAGTTTTGAATGGCTGCAATGGACTGATCGCTGGGTGCTATGAAAATGGTGGTAAATACCAGAAAAAAAAAAAAAATGAGCTGGGTGCTATAAAATGGTGGTAAATACCAGAAAAAAAATAAAATGAGCATTGCACTGCATATGGGTGATGTGTTGTTACAAAGCATTGCACCATTTACTTTTTTTTTTTACTTTATCGACAAGTCACAAGAGGACACTGGAGTCTGTGCGGTGTGTGGCGCCATGACGCTGTGTAAAATCATGCTGCATGGTGTGAACAGGGCACAGACATAACAATTGTTTGCGTTGATCCAGGCAGATGATGTGAGCATGCCCTTCCTCTCACATGACTCTCAATGACATGCCTGCAATTGTGTCCTTATCAATAACTTGGGATTCTAGAAGCACAGGCACCTTTGTCCCCTGTCCTGTCAATGACATCAGGAGTTGTGATGCTGCAGGGAACAAGCATGACTGCACCAGTCTATGGTAGCCAACAGCGCTCCCAGGGTGCAGTAGTCACATGTGTCCTGTAGCTGGCACTCTGCCCTCCCTCCCTCTCTCCTTTACCTCTGGTGCGGGCTCTAAGGATGCCTTTCTTCTGCAGCACAAACGTGGAGCCATTGAGCAGACTGGAGAAGACCGCCACACTCAGCCCCAGCAGGGGCAGCTCAGCCTCCGTGTACATCCCCGGTGTGGTCAGTCCTCGGCCGGCAGCCTGGTCATACTCTCCGTGTCAATCTCCTTCCGGAATGACGAGCCGTGCTGCCGGCTGACTCCGAGCTCCACAAACTCCAGCACAACTGAGCAGCGCGGTGCAGGGAGATGAACTGCTCTTTTTTTTTTTTTGTCTCTGTATAAACTTTATTGTTCAGAAAACAAAGTGCTAAAATGGATTTGGATGCCCTGTATTTGCATTCCTTAACCACTTGAATACCAAGCAGAATACCAAGCACTTTATCTACTTTCACTCCAGAAGATTTACCCCCCTTCCTGACCAGTCCATTTTCGTGCGATACGACGCTGCGTTATTTTAACTGACAATTGCGCGGTCATGCAGCACTGCACCCAAATTTTTTTGCACTATAAACAAAAAAAGCCCAACAATTTTGAGAAAAATAACAATATTTTTGACTTTTTGCTATTAAACATGTCCAGTAAAAAAAAATTAAAAAATCAAATTTCATCATACATTTAGGCCCAAAATGTATTCTGCTACATATCTTGCCTAAAAATCCCAATACGTGTAAATTAATTGGTTTACATGAAAGTTGGCAGTATATACAGTATGCTGATATTTAAATACAAAAGTTATACTAGTAATGACTTTATAGCAGGACTGCGGGACTGTGGCGGGCATTCTGACACGGGGGGGGGGGGTACTGACTGTCACTGACATCCCCAGTGACACTCATACAGTGATCAGTGCTATTGAAAAGCACTGACACTGAGCAGGAAGGGAATAACATCTGGGGCGATCAAAGGGTTAACTGTGTGCTGTTTAACTGAGCTGTGTGTGTTTCACTGTGTAAGCACATTGCTTTGTATTGCTCTGCTATACAAAGCAGTGTGCAAGAGCTGACGGAGAGATCTGTATTGTTTACATACAGGTCTCTCCCCCGTCAGTGATACTCGGCGATCTCCGGGTGCCTTCGGGGAATCACCGGCTGGAAGCCGGTGATTGACAGCCAAGGCCACTAATAGCGGTGTGGGTGTTTCTTATATTTTTACACTGTCCCTTTATTTATTTATTTTTAATCACTTTTATTAATGTAAACATCACTTGTAATTGAAATAAGGACGACAGGTCCTCTTTAACCAGTTGCCCACCGCCCTATAGCAGAAATACTGTTATAGGGCGCCAGGGCTGCAAACTCACATATATATATATACATGATTTGCATTTCCAGGTAGGGGGCGCGCACCGCCCTACCCACATCGTCAGTAAAGTAAAACTGACAGAGGACGACAACAACACAGGTCTCTCTCCTGCCAGCAACAACATGCTGCTGTGTATTTCTCTGTCTGATTTCGGCCCATTCTTCCACACAGTCTTCAAACTTTGGAGGTTCCTTGGGCCTCTTCTATGAACTCTGATCTTTAGTTCTTTCCATTTCTATTGGATTCAAGTCAGGTGATTGACTGGGCCATTCTAGCAGCTTTATTTTCTTTCTTTGAAACCAGTTGAGAGTTTCCTTGGCTTTGTGTTTGGGATTATTGTCTTGCTGAAATTTCCACCCTCGTTTCATCTTCATCATCCTGGCAGATGGCAGCAGATTTTTATCAAGAATAGCTTGGTACATTTTTTCATTCATCCTTCCTTCAATGACCTGAAGTTGCCAATACTGTATGCTGACAAACAGCCCCACACCATGATATTCCCACCTCCAAACTTCACTGTTGGTATGGTGTATTTGGGGTGATGTGCAATGCCATTTGACCTCCAAACATGGTGTGTATTATGGCATCCAAACCGTTCAAATGTGGTCTCATCTGACCACACTATATTCTCCCAGTATTTCACAGGCTTGTCTAACTGTTGTGCAGCAAACTTTAAATGGGCTTCAACATGCTTTTTCTTCAGAAATGGAGTCTTGCATGGTGAGCGTGCGTACAGGCCAAGGTAGTTGAGTGAATTACTTATTGTTTTCATTGAAACAATTATACCTGCTAATTCCAGGTCTTTCTGAAGCTCTCCACAAGTAGTCCTTGGCTCTTGGACAACTCTTCTGATAATCCTTTTCACTCCTCTGTCAGAAATCTTGCAAGGAGCACCTGGTCGTGGCTGGTTAATTGTGAAATTATGTATTTTCCCCTCTTGGCTTATGGCCCCAACAGTGCTCACTAAAACATTCAGAAGTTTAGAAATCCTTGTTCAATACATATTAACCCGCTGTGTATATATACATACACAACCACACTATATTGCCAAAAGTATTGGGACACACCTCCAAATCATTGGATTTAGCTATTCCAATTACCTCCATGGCCACAGGTGTATAAATCAAGCACCTAGACATGCAACAAAGTGGAAGCAACTAGGAACAACAGCAACTCAGCCACGAAGTGGTAGGCCACGTAAAATGACAGAGCAGGGTCAGCGCATGCTAAAGCGCACAGTGCGCAGACGTCGCCAATTGTCTGCAGAGTCAGTAGCTACAGAACTCCAAACTTCGTGTAGTCTTCAGATTAGCACAACAACAGTGCATAGGGAGCTTCATGGAATGGGTTTCCTTGGCCGAGCAGCTGCATCCAAGCCTTACATCACCAAGTACAATGCAATGAGTCAGCTGCAGTGGTGTAAAACACACACCGGACTCTAGAGCAGTGGAGACGTGTTTTCTGGGGTGACCAATCACTCTTCTCTATCTGGCAATCCAATGGACGTGTCTGAGTTTAGTGATTGCCAGGACAATGGTACTTGCCTGACTGCATTGTGCCAAGTGTAAAGTTGGTGGTGGGGGGGGGATTATGATGTGGGGTTGTTTTTTAGGGGATGGGCTTAGCCCCTTAGTTCCAGTGAAGGGAACTCTTAAGGTATCATCATTAAGACATTTTGGACAATTTCATGCTCCCAACTTTGTGGGAACAGTTTGGAGATGGCCCCTTCCTGTTCCAACATGACTGCACAACAGTGCACAAAGCAAGGTCCATAAAGACATGGATGAGTGAGTTTGGGGTGGAGGAATTTGACTGGCCTGCAGAGTCCTGACCTCAACCCGATAGAACACCTTTGAGATGAATTAGAGCAAAGACTGCGACCCAGGCCTTCTCGTCCGACTTCAGTGTCTGACCTCACAAATGCACTTTTAGAAGAATGGTCAAACATTCCCATAGACACACTCCTAAACCTTGTGGACAACCTTCCCAGAAGAGTTGAAGCTGTTATAGCTGCAAAGGGTGGGCCAACTCAATATTGAACTCTTCGGACTAAGACTGGGATGCCATCAAATTTCATGTGTGTGTAAAGGCAGGCGTCCCAATAATTTTGGCTATATATATTGTGGCAGAGCGGTATCCTGCCACGGTGGAAATCACGATGGAGACCCAGGATTCTCACCCATACAGGTTGAGGGGCTCCAGGCAGTTCTCATAATGCAGAGGAAACTGGTTTATCAGTTTCCTCTTTGGTTTGTAAAGCCTGTTTTGGGACCTGTAGCCTGGAGATTTCTAAGAGATTTGGGAGGGATGAAATCTCCAATCCTGGGCCCATATTTTGAGAGCAGCCAGTGCGATGATTGCACAGGTGTGTGCAGGCCTTTTTGTGGAGGCCAGGTCATGATTCTGAGCTCCACCCCAGCAGATAGGAGTCAGGAGGGCTCCACCCTGGCAGACGGAGTCAGGAGTCAGGTCTCTGTCTTGGAGTCAGGTGGGCTTCACCAAGTAGAGGTGGAAGCCAGACTAGCTGTGTGCTAGACGTTTGCTGTGTGCAAAAACAACCTTGTGGAAGGAGTCTGTAGGAGACATATATAAAGCGGTATAGCTGAAAGAGCCAGAGGGCTGAATTGGTTTGATGTTGGATACCCCTGTGTGGGAAGCATTTGTGTTTCTGGAACTTTTTCTTTTAAATAAAATTGGGCAACAAGGCCCTGAGAGAAGCGAGTTGCTGTGTGCTTTAACAAGAAAAGCTCTACCATTCTGAAGCGAGTTCCCACAATATATATATATTTATATTTTTTTTTACCAGAGACCCTAGAGCAGTGGTTCTCAACCTTTCTAGCGCCGCGACCCCTTAATACAGTTCCTCATGTTGTGGTGACCCCCAACCATAAAATTATTTTCGTTGCTACTTCATAACTGTAATTTTGCAGTAGGAGGAATAGTGTCCCATCATTGGTGTCATTGGGAGGAATAGTGCCCCGTCATCGGTGTCAGTGGGAGGAATAGTGCCTCGTCATCGGTGTCAGTGTGAGGAATAGTGCCCCGTCATCGGTATCAGTGGGAGGAATAGTGCTCCATCATCGGTGTCAGTGGGAGGAATAGTGCCCCATCATCGGTGTCAGTGGGAGGAATAGTGCCTCATCATTGGTGTCAGTGGGAGGAATAGTGCCCCATCATCGGTGTCAGTGGGAGGAATAGTGCCCCATCATCGGTGTCAGTGGAAGGAATAGTGCCCCATCATCGGTGTCAGTGGGAGGAATAGTGCCTCATCATCGGTGTCAGTGGGAGGAATAGTGCCCCATCATCGGTGTCAGTGGGAGGAATAGTGCCCCATCATCGGTGTCAGTGGGAGGAATAGTGCCTCATCATCGGTATCAGTGGGAGGAATAGTGTCCCATCATCGGTATCAGTGGGAGGAATAGTGCCCCATCATAGGTGTCAGTGGGAGGAGGAATAGTGCCCCATCATAGGTGTCAGTGGGAGGGGAGTGCCCCATCATTGGTCATAGAATGTGCCCCATCATTGGTGTCAGTGGGGGGAATAGTGCCCCATCATAGGTGTCAGTGGGAGGAATAGTGCCCCATCATTGGTGTCAGTGGGGGGAATAGTGCCCCATCATTGGTGTCAGTGGGAGGAATGGTGCCTCATCATTGGTATCAGTGGGAGGAATAGTGCCCCATCATTGGTATCAGTGGGAGGAATAGTGCCCCATCATTGGTGTCAGTGGGAGGAATAGTGCCCCATCATTGGTATCAGTGGGGGGGAATAGTGTCCCATCATTGGTATCAGTGGGAGGAATAGTGCCCC